CATATGCATGTGAAAATTAGACAATGAATAAAGAAGACCATAGGAGAATTGATGCATTTGAGTTATAGTGTTGGAGGAGAATATTAAAAGTACCATGAATTGCCAAAAGAATAAACAAATCTGTGTTGGAAGCCAGAATGGCTAGACTTAATCTCTCATAATTTGGACATATTATCAGGAGGGAGCAATCTCTGAGAAAAGACATTATGATTGGTAAAGTAGAAGGTCAGCAAAGAAGAGGATGATCCCCAAAGAGATTGGTTGGCACAGTGGCAGCAGCAATAGGCTTAAACTTAGCAATAATTTTGAGGTTGGCATAGGATTGGGCAGTGTTTCATTCTCTTTTGTATAAGGTTGCTATGAGTCCGTGCCAACTCAATGGCACTTAACAACAACAACAATTAAATTATTGTGTCCTTTTTACTCTGATTCATTGTCAATATTTTCATGTTTAATGAAAAACTGTTGATATTTATGGGGTAGATTGCCTTTCCAATGTGGCTATATTACCTTGCCACCTGGTCAGAACAATTTCCAGAAAACAAAACCAAACCAGAAAGTTTGTTGTAAGAATTAACTTTATATCTTATAAATTCACACAGCACTGAGTAAATTTCATTGAAGTTGCTTAGATGTTTTATTGGTACGTTTTTGTTGTTGTTAAGAATATGTGAGTCAGTTCTGACTCATTGTGACCTTGTATAGGGCTTCTGAGGAGCAGCTGGTGAGTTTGAACTGCCATATATATAGCCCCAGAAAGAAAAGAGGATTCAAGAATCAAACTTGTATATGCTTTTATAAGGAAGAAAATAATTTGTTGTCCTGGGCTCATTCTTTAGCATTGCTTATAGGACATTTCCACTGGTAATACAGTGGGTTACACAGTAGACTGCTAACCTCAATATCAGCAGTTCAAATCCACCAGGCTTTCTGCTCCTTTCTACAGCTTTGGAAACCCTATACAGAGTCACTGTGAGCTGCAGCAGCCATGAAATTTCCCCCCTATCCTTGTCTTCATAGTGTTAGCCCCCCCAAAAATCATAGCAGATCAAAACTGATCTATATTGGTGTGATTTTGTCTTTCACGTGATATCATGCTTTTTACTATCCATAAAATTTTACATTAAACATACTCTGTCTCCTGCCTGATGGTGATGGAATAGTTCCCACTGTTACTTCCAGGCCTCAGGATCATATTTCCCAATGAAGGATTCTTCTCGAGAATTTCAGTTGCTTCTTTTCGTGACACTGTATAAAAACATCTATAAGGGTAAGAAAAAAAAAAAAAAAAAAAAACAAACCAGAATTTTGTTGTTTTTGAACTGATGAAAACTATCACACAAAAATGCTATTAAAATAAGTTCAAGATATTTCCAGTTAACAACTTTTCTTAAATCCTCCAGCTTTAAACAACTTAAATTGTTTTAAGTTGTTGTGGGGTAATGCCAACTCAAAGCAACCCAATGTGTATCAAAGTAGAACTATGCTCCATAGAGTTTTTATAGCTATAACCTTCCTGAAGCTGATCATCAGGACAGTCTTCCCAGAGGTTCAAACCACCCACCTTTTGGCTAGTAGTCAAGTTGTGGCTATTTGAATCACACAGGGAGTACTGCCACATCTTTCTTCCACAGACTGGTTGGCAAGTTCTAATAGCCAACCTTTAGGTTAGCATGGTGGTGATGGTAATTTAATCACTGTGCTATCTGTGCTTCTTTAATTACAGTAACAACTATTCTAAGTCTGCATCTCTATGAGTTTGCTAATATGAAGGCCCTCCTTCCCTTACTCCTCCAAAGCCTTTTCCTTTAACCAAAGAGAACTTGAGAAAGATGAGGCTTTCTGTACTCATAAAGATTTACAGCCTCAGAAACCTTAAGCAGGGTCATTATGAGTTGGAACCAACTCCACCACACAGCACCACTACCACAGTATATTATAGTCATAGGAAAAAAAAATTGACTGGATGTTGCAGACCATGTAAAGTTGGTCAGAAGTTCGAGGCCCACTGGGCCCGAGTGTTGCAGACAATG